TATATATATATATAAGCGTGTGCAGCTAAACCCACGCGATAGACTTTTCGAAAGTGTACGAAGAAGAAAGTACACGTATACGCTGTCTGAGTGCACTTATAGTTTCTTTTGCGCTCGAGCGTGTATATAAATATATATACTAACGATGAGCTCCACGTTGGAATACAGAATGTCACGGGAGTGTCGACCTTTTCAATTTTTTTTTTTTTCTCTCCCACACTTGCATGGTCTTTATTGTTGGTGAAAGTATTTTTAATTGGGAATAAAGAACCCCCCCTACCCCGTTTAAATTCAATATTGCAGGGACTTTAGCTTTCAAAACCGACGATCTCGCTACCGATCGCGAGCAATGGAAAACCAACGAGTTGGAAAACGTATATGTGTATAATCTGCCGATGTTGGTTTTTCTTTTTTTTTTCCTTTTTTTTTTCCTCTCCTACTAGTCAACAACAATGGCTAATGATATGTTGGGTTTTCCATTAGATCCAACGATCGCGCAACATCTCAGAAATCGAGTTTTCTCTCGCAAAGTCAATAACGCGCTTCTACGTCCCATATTTGCGGGATGACGATATACCCACTATATATGTGTACATATGCAATAGCTTTCGGTTTTAAAAGCGAGCACACACCAATGCGTATATGCATACACTCTCGAACGGGGGATAAGTAATGACAAATTATCGATCGCTATTGATTGGATTATCCATTATACGATAGCACACATGTTACGTATCGATGCTTGTAGTTGTTGTGGATCACTTTTGTCTTTATATAATTGGGAAATCATCGAAAGAAACGAAAATTCGCGGCAGTGCAATTTGTCGATGGAGGAACCACGCGAGACTGGCCAAAGGGGGGCAAAAACAGGCGTCGAAACGCGGAAATGCAACTGAGCCTTACTTTTGCAGGTAATACGTTTCATACCCATGCATGGGTATAAGTATATATATACTATATATACTATATGTATACATATATGTGTATATATATATATATATATATATATACAACGGAGGTAACGACTTTCGCACTCGCACTGATTACGCGACTAATAAAAAAAAGGCGCATGGCACGTGTATACATGTATATATACGTACACGCAGGAAACGGAAATATATAGAAATCGTACTTATATATGTTTGCTTGGGAGAGTATATATATATGTATATATACATATATATACACGAGTTGTACGATATACCATACGCTGTATCTTTTATAATCTCCGTGTACAAACCAGCCGCGTTTTGTTGCCGCTATATCTACGCCGCCGTACGTTTGTGAATTTACTGCAGCGCGTATAAACTATAAAGTGTATACGTATACGTATAGGCATCACGTACCATTAGCGCGTCCATTTAGATTTACTGGTGAAGGTGTACATAGGTGTAAGGAGCTATATTTAAGGATAATACATAATACGAGGAGCGATCCCGATGGGGCTGGTTATGGTTAAAAAAAAAAAAAAAAAAAAAAAAATCGATGGCTCACTGTTCACTCAAAAGTTGGCGCTATTCATACCAACCGCATGTGTGAATTCTTATGTACACTCTGCTCTACGTGCAAATTACACGCGTACCCATCACGTGTTTATATATATATATATATATATATATATATATATATATTATAAGTACATCCTACACACATGCAGCACCGGGAAAAATTCCCATTTGATGGTAATTAAGAGCCAAGGAGTCGAAGGACACGGGAATGCACGACAATGGGATGGAGGAGAGAAGAAAAAAAATCAGTGGTGTTTGTATAGGCAGTAAATAGCATCGTGTGCCCATTGCTTTTTCTCTCTACAGCTATGTATATGTATATGCGTTGCAACAGCTGCCTCCTCGTATCGTAATCATACAATCGAGGTATTATATATGCACTATGGTGTCTATGTGTGTGTGTGTGTGTGTACATGTATTAAACGTGAATAAAACGTGCGTACATAATTGTATGGTGCGCAACGCAAGGGGACATGGCGTAATCGAGCGCGTACAGGTCAATACCGTAGGGTCGCGGGGGAGAGGATTGGTATATATCGTTTACTTGCCCCCAGCTCCTACATAAACCTAATACACGCGAGAGCGAGGCATCTCGACAAGGTATTTTTTCATGCGAGTAGGGATGTATCTATAAATCGGTTAGTGGTCCGATCGATCTAGTTAGGAGGCAAAGTGGACTGATACGCTCATATATATTTTATCGCCGCCTGTCACGGGGTCGTCCTTGAGCTAGCCACTGTTACGAAGACGTTCTCGTACTCCACGCTCAGCTAGCCCGTAAGTACATTGGGTACCAACTACCGGCTGTTGGAGCACATTGGTGTACCTTATACACCGACGTTGATCGTTACAAGAAAGTTTCATTAATTTTGCAGTTGCCATTAAAGTCTTCAATTACGATTTCGCCCATCACCGAACCAAGTGAAAGCCATATATATTGCCGTACAAACTCGTACTATTCACTTGTGTATACGTTTTGCAGAGTATGTTATTATGGGTGGGTGTCTATTTTAGAGAAAACTTGAACATCTTGGATGGAACACGATTAAAAACTCTTCAGTTGATTTTTTCAGAGTGCCATTTTTCATCAATGGCTTCTACATTTAGTGCCAAAAGAAAAAAAATAAACATTGAAGGAAAATATGTGTCCTTTTTTCTTGGAAAGTTCGTGTCAATCGTTATTTTTTTTTTTTT